TCTTTGACTATCTGATCATCTTTGACTATCTGCCCATTGATAAATACTGAGAGCTCCAGGGAGAGCAAGGCAGACCAGAAGTCAAAAACTCATGATGTCTGGTGGCTTGTCTAGGAGCAAATCTTCTTCCGCTCTCCTTGCTGCCTGAAATTCTGTATGAGCGCCAAGGAGGCACTTGGGGAGGGTTGCTGGTGGTCTCTTGCTCTTCAGGTTGTCCTCACTTACCTCTGGGCCTGGTATTTTGAGCACAGCCTTACGCAAGGTCAGTCACCAGCTGACTGCAAATAGGGACAGGAAGGGAGAAAGATACCCACCTGCTCTGATTTTATCCCCTCCTAGAATCTTCCTTAGTACTTAGTGCCTCCAGGCCTGCCACTCTCAGTAACTCTTCTTTTGCTGGCAGTTTTTTTTATTTTTAGAAGTCTGTTAATATCTTTCATCTTCTGTACCTTGTCTTCTTTATTCTTGTTCTTTCTGAATAATACTACTTTTATTCCTTTACTATTGTTTTAGTGAAGTTTTGGAAGGGGAGATAAATTGTTCAAACAGACAAGGGGTCAGCAAACTTTTTCTATAAAAAGGTAATTTTACCTTGTTTTAATTGTTAGTGAGGCCAGTAAGTTAATGACTTTGACTACAGGCATACCTCTTTTTATTGCTCTTTGCTTTATTGCACTTCACACATATTGCACTTTTTACAAGGCAGCAAAAAGAATGAATTGCTAAAAGCTCCAATGGTGGTTAGCATTATTTAGCAATGAAACATTTTAAAATTAATGTATGTACATGTTATTTGGAAATGATGTTATTTAATAGACTATAGTATATTGTGAATATAACTTTTATATGCCCTGGGAAACCAAAATATGCATATGACATGCTTCACTGCTATATTCACTTTATTTCCGTGGTCTGGAACTGAACCCTCAATATCTCTTAAGGTGTGCCTATATATTTTATTTCATTACTCCTCCCCTGTTGTGATTATCAATATTATTAACAATGTTTCACCATTCTAAATATGCTGCAATGGCCAATTTGTGTATGTAGTTATTTTTCTTATTGAATTCTTCATGATTGAAATCCAGAAATGGATTTCTTAGGTCAAACATGGTGAATATTTTTATGATTCCTGTTGCATATTGGTACAATATTACACCAAAAGAGGTGTCCTGAGCAGGGCCACCAGAAGTGTCACGGTTAAATTACAGTTGCATTTTTTTTTTTTTAAATAGAGGCATGTTTTATTTATTTAATTAATTTGTTTGTTTGTTTTGTTTTTGTTTGTACATGCACTGGGTACAGTCAGAAGCGCGGGAGGGTGAGAGAATTCACCAGAGCCAGAGCGGGGAGCAGAGCAGGCAGAAGGACCGAAGTACACTGCTGAGGAGAGCAGCGGGCAGCAGGACTGCGCGCCATGTGGGACCCTCCTCCGGTGGCCGGGGAGCAGCCGCGGATCGAACCAGAGCTGCAGAGGCTGCAGGCAGCTTCGCAACCCAGCGCTCAACCGCTGCGCCACCGGGGAGGCCCAAGAAAATATTTTTAGATAATACTGAATTAAAGGAGGAAGGCCTTATAAGGGAGCATGATTTGAGAGGTCTTTTTAAGGAGAGGGGACAAGGTATTCAGGAACTCTGGCACTGGTCTTAAGAAAATTTTATCAATCTGTTGTTGTTTGTTTTATTCTTTTTTTTTTTGGTGAAGTGCTTTTGTGTAATTCAAAATGCAAATGACAAAAAATTATATAGGATGGAAAAAAGCCTTCCTTGCACTTACTGATGTGTCCTTGCTATATCTATCTAGCTCCCCTCTCTGAAGACAACCAATGTTAATAGTTCCTTACCCAGTTGCACTGGTTGAAAAGGATGCTCAAAGTTATATCAGAAAAATTTAATGTACTGAACACTTAAATATTTTATTAGAATGGCTATCATGTCCTTTTTAATTTTATGGCACATGAAAATGCAATTATCAAGGAAGACATTTTTTAAATTGAATGTTTTGTAAAAGTGAAGTGTTTGAAAAAATAAAGCTGTGCAAAAACAATTTTTTATATCAAGGAAGTAAAAAAAGACATGAAAGACAAAATATTATTACAATTTTATACCATCTACTATGTTAACAATAAGTATTTTCATTTATGAATATAGAACTTCAAAAACATAATACTGATGAGTGAGTCATTTCACTCTAGATTGTAAAATATATTTGCTGAAAATAGATAAGCTTATGCCATTTGCAACAACATGGATGGAGCTGGAAGGGATTATGCTCAGTGAAATAAGTCAGAAGGACAAAGAAAAACATCGGATGGTTTCGCTTATAGGAGTAACATCGTAAAGCCATGGAAGGGATCAGGAAAAAATAGACAAAACTAGCAGGCAAAGTATAAATCAGACATTCAGCAGGGGCGGGTGTGGGAGAGGGGTCAAAATGGGAGGGAAGAGCACAAGAGTCCATAGTGATGGTTCACGGGTGTCTTGGTGGTGATAATTTTATGGGCACAACATCTGAGAGGAGAAATCAAACATTGTACAAAAATGATGAACGATGTGGGCCTCCCTGGTGGTGCAAGGGGTTAAGTCTCAGTACGATGAAGCTATCTGCAGCCTCTGCAGCATGAGTTCCATCCCAAGCAAGGAAGCTAACACACATGGTGCAGCAGACCTCTCCTGTCTCTCCCGCTGCTCCCCTCAGCAGTGTATTTCAGTAGATCTGCCTGTTTTGCTCCCCACTCTGTCTCTGGTGAATCCTTACACCAGCCCCTCCACACACCTCTTCCCCCGCGCCTCTGGCCTACACCCCAAATCTTGTATGTATAAATAAATAAATCTTTATTTTTTTTGAAAGTACAGTTTGTTTGTTTGTTAAAGATTTATTTATTTATTTATATAAGCTCTGGGTACAGTCAGAAGCTCTGGGTACAGTCAGAAGCGCTCTGGGTACACCAGAGCCAGAGCAGCGAGCAGAGCAGGCAGACTGACGAAGTACACTGCTGAGGGGAGCAGCGGGTATGGCAGGAGAGGTCTGCGCGCCCAGTGGCTGGGGATCGAACCAGTGCTGCAGAGGCTGCGGGCAGCTTTGCAACCCAGTGCTCAACCACTGCGCCACTGGGGAGGCCCTGTGTTCATTTTGTTCTAAAGATTGGGGCGCAGCAGTTGAGCACTGGGTAGCGAAGCTGCCCGCAGCCTCTGCAGCGCCGGTTCGGCTGCCGGGCGAGGGTCCCAGATGGCGCGCATACCTCTCCTGCCGCACCCGCTGCTCCCTTCAGCAGTGTACTTCGTCAGTCTGCCTGCTCTGCTCTCCGCTCTGGCTCTGGTGAATTCTCTCACCCTCCCGCGCTTGTGACTGTACCCAGAGCTTATATAAATAAATAAATCTTTAAAAAAAAAGGCAAAATGAAAAATGTAAAAATATATAAATAAAAATGAAAAAAATATGTATTTGCTGAAATGAGAAAACTTTTTGGAAAATGCACAAATCAATATTTACGAGAAAAATTTTTGGAAAATGCACAAATCAATATTTACATCAACAAGCTTCAACTGTTCACATACCAGGTTTTAATAATTTACTTCAAGTGGCATATTTATGACTCTGAAGATAGTGAGATACGTTTTGTTGATCTCATGGAACTAGAACAAAGAAAGAGGTCTCATTATTATTATTATTCATTCATTCGACTCATTCATTCATACAAGAGCTGAGGTACAGGCCAGGGATGCGGAGGGTGAGAGGATCCACCAGAGACAGAGTGGGGAGCAGAACAGGCAGACTGACTGAAATACACTGCTGAGGGGAGCAGTGGGCAAGATAGAAGAGGTCTGGCTCGACATGTGGGTTTCTCCCTGGCCAGCTGGGGATCGAACTGGTGCCGCAGAGGCTGTGGATTTCTTCATAGTGCGGTGCTTAACCCCTTGTGCCACCAGCAAGGCCCTATTATTCTTATTCTTAATACATTGGAAGTCTTAACTAGGGCAGTGAGGCAAGAAAAAGAAATAATATGTGTATGGGAGGTAAAAGAACGAAAAACTTTCTGCTTGTAAATAATTGTTTATGTGGAGAATTCCAGAGAATCAACAGTTTTAACTAAGTGTGTTTTACAAGATCAATATGCAGACTTACTGTGTTTGTGTGTACTAGCACTAAACAAACAGAAGCCAACATTTTGATAAAGCCAATTTATCTAAAATGTTATTCTTATTTCATAGAAGCTGAGAATAGCTTTAACATTATGAATAGTATCATTACTACTAAGAAAAATTCTTAATGGGAACAAGATACCTAACAATCGACCACCACTTTAATGGAGAATGCAGTTCTTCGTGGCTGAGTTAGGACAGCATTTAGCCAGACTCAACTATGTCACAATGTCACAGCAGAATACCAAAAAGCATCAAAATATTTGGAAGTATAAATCTTTTAACAATTTTATCATCCATAGCAGTTTCTATATAATATGTATAGCTAGAAAATGAATAGGAGTATTTATACATTTTAAATTTGAACATTGATTTCTATATTAATATTACCTTGCTTATTATTAAATATTTTGAATGTACATTCTTTGTCACCCTTTTTATAAAAATAGTGGCATATTATATACTGCCCATTTTCTGACTCTGCTTTTTTAACTTGATAATATAATTTGAAAATTATTCCAAATCTTTACATAAATACATTCATTCTATTTTATGTATGTGTGATAGTCTACAGAGTAGCAGCATTTAACCAGTAGATTATTTTCAACATTTTACTACTTGAAACCAAAGCCCCTTTCATTCTCAAGCTTTTTAAAATGCATATGTATGATTTTAGTCGAATGGTAAGTATACCTGAGTTTATAATATATTAAACCTTATCATCTTATAATTTAATTTGCATTTTTTTCCATCAATTTTTTTTTCAGTGTCAATTTTTTTTACCAGTGTCAAGATAGCTTCTCTGACACTATTTCAAAAACTTTACCCATAGTGAATGTTACCTTGTTCTTTCTACAGTGTGAAGATTGCTCCTGGAGCAGTTGTATGTGTAGAAAGTGAAATCCGGGGAGACGTAACTATAGGTAAGAAAACTGTTTAATAGTGTTGTTTCTCAAGAACTGATGTGATTTAATTATCAGTGCTTTACATGAATCTATTTTGCTTGTGTATTTTACTGATGTCCTAATTTTATTGATAAAACAATCTATTTGTGCCCACACATGCTTACTGTTTCTAAAAAATATGTAGTATAATGGAGTATTTATATTAATCTCCTCTTTGATAAACTAATGAAACCATGCAACAAAATCATTCATTCACTTGAGAGACATCTTATGTATACTGTTTATGTGCCGGGCACTGTGCTTATACTAAGGACACAGTGGTGAACACAGGTTATGCCAGCACTGCCATCTTGGAGCTTGTATTCTGCTGAGTCATCATTAATAGCATAAACTCTGGAATCTGACAGAGTTAGGTTAGTATCCTTGCTCTTTACTTGCTGGGTTACTCTGGACATATTTCTTAGCCTCCTAGTCTTCATTTTCTCCATCTGTAGAATTGGGTGTTTAAGATTAGGTTCAACCACATGTAGTGATGGTTAAAACCTGCAGAGGTTTGTTCTGTTGTATAAAAAGCCCAGAGGTAGGCAATTCAAGGCTGGTCACTTGATTGTCCCAGAACTCCAGCCTTGCAGGCCTAGATGTGACAGCTAGAACACCAAAAGACCCTGGACAACAATGGGGAGGAGTGGAAGAAAAGAGAATCCCTCCCAGTTGAGTCAGCTTCCTTTAGATAGCCTTCCTGAAAGTGCCACATGGTCTTTCTTTGTGTGTGTCTGATGCCTTGGACTTAGTCTCATGGACATATCTAGCTTCAGGGATCAGTGGAAAGTACAGTCTTAACTAGGTACAATGCTACCCCAAATAAAATGAGACTTTGTCATAAGGAAAAAGAGAAGAATGGATATCTCGTGACAATTAACAGTCTCTGTCATGTACAGAATAGAAGTACCTACCTCCTAGGTTTTTTAAGGATTAAATAAGAGAGTGTTTGTGAAAAGCATTGCCCAATACCTAACACATAGAATACAGTGAGTGCTAGCTAATTAAATCAAATGAACAGTATTAATCAATATAAATCAAATGCTTACATGATTTTCTCCAAATTCACATTTCATCCAGTTCTTTTACATGTACTTTCACTAGATATGGTACCTCTGTAACTTAATTAGTGTGAACCATTCTTACCGCAACTGCATGTTATCAGAGTAGAGTTTTCAATGAATTAAGTATGCTTTCAGAGAGAAAATAAGGCTCTTAGATTAACAGAGCCTTTACTGGAAAAAAATATATATATATATAGTAATATATCTAAACCTCCAACCAACTTAGACATTGTGTTTTATAAAAAGAATAAAGGTTGCAGCAGTATTTTGGGAATATATTAGGAATTTGTCAGCTTAGGGTTATTTTAAATTGACAGAACCCTTGCAAACTCTTTATGAAGAGAAATTAGGGTGGGCCACATGTTTATCCCTTGCTCATCTGCATTGTTTTTATTCTGATGTGTTTATGGCTCTCATGATTCAAGGAATAACACCTAATGGTAGCTCTGAAAGTATTCTATAATCAGAAGGAAAGTAGTAATAATTGGAGCTAATTATGTAAACTTTCCCTTTCATTCCTAATTCTTGTCCTTTTTTTTTTTTTTTAAGATTTATTTATTTATGCATAGAAGAGCTGGGGTACAGGCCATAGATGTGGGGCGTGGGGTGTGGGGTGAGAGGATCCACCAGAGACAGAGTGGGGAACAGAACAGGCAGACTGACTGAAATACACTGCTGAGGGGAGCAGCAGGTGGGACAGGAGAGGTCTGCCTCACCATAATTCTTGTCCATTTTAAAAAATAAGTATACAGTATTTACTATTTAATGTATAGATAATAAAGTATCTCTGTAGGCATAAATATACACACGGGTTTGTGTGTGTGTTCAGATTTAGAAATAATGCCTATTACATTTAGAAGCTTTTCTAGAACAGCTGTACAGGTTTTAACCTATGAAAAGGAAAGGTGTGTGCTGCAAAGGATTGAGGCATGGGGTTATCAGGAGTCAGCACTCCCATTCTTGTTCTCTGTCTTTGTCTTTTTTGTGCTTCTCGCCTTTATCCTCCTGCCTTCTCTAAGTGTTGAAGTTACAAAAGGGAATACAGTATGTAAGTTTTCTTTCCATATAGTGTTTGACTTCTAACTGATAGTGGTAGCTCTGACAATTAAAATATGAAATGATAGTTCAACACAGATTTTCAGTGATGGATTATAGCATGAGAAGTGGTCATAATTTTTCTTTAAAATAGTGTGATTGAACTTTATCATAGGCTAGGTCTAAGCTAATACATTGTATATTTTGACCCAGTTTTTTAAAAGAAAATTTGCTCAAATACCTTATAGAAGTCTTCTACAATTCCAATCTCATTTTCATTGTGCATGTTTTTTGTCTTTATTTGTATATATAAGTATGTAAATATTATCGAATTGATATTTATACAGCTCTGTCATTGTTATATTTGGTATAAAATATTTCTAATCTTCTAGCTGCTGTTAATTCATTTTTCTGAAGCAATAGATCAGATTAAAAGATGTAATTATTAAATCAGTGTAGAAACTAGAAATGTTATCTGGTTAAAACCCATTCTACCATGTTTTATTTTTCATTTCCGGGCTTTTGTTGTTTTTAGTTTTTCTTAATTTACCAGAATAATTAAGTCTTTTTCTTTTGTGCTATGTATATTGATATGTGAACATTTAATAAGCCCTATTTTCTTGTTAAGTAGCAATAAACTTAAGTGTCATTTAATTAATAGATTTTTCAAGATGTTGTGGAGAACTCTATCCCCTAGTTGACTGTTCTTTTTATGAAATTATAATATTTCAGAAAGAATTTTTTTTCGCTTGTTTCAATAGAACTTTAAAATTGATCTTCTGTTTTCCTAAAAACTCAGTTTATGTCAAAGAAACCAATCTGAACCTTTGAAGTATTGTTCTTAACCAGAGATCCTATGACTTGAAGCTTTTCTGGAGCCTGACCCTTTTCATTAGTGGCTACTCAGAAACAGACCTTGGGAAAAATAATAGCTCTTTTGTTAATTATAATTTGGGTAAATAAGTATAGTATTAAGATCTGTTTTTATTTAGGCTGCCATGATTTGTAAGCCATGCATTACTTCCTCTAAATTTTGTTTTGAAAACTGAAGAAAGGTATCTTTGAACACAGTTCTATTGTCCCATTATAGGGTGAAAGGCAGCCTCCTGGTGTCTGAACAGGACTTGGTCGTGACTTTATCATATGAAGGTAGAAGTTGGCACAGTGGGAAAGCTGTGTGATAAAAGCACTTTGTCCCACTTATTCTGTCTTTCTCTCCATTAGAGCTTTTAATATAGACTGAAAGCTTCCCTTTTATTGTGGAAAATCTTTTCAACAAGGCATAACAGTGGCTTTGACTTGAGAAATTCATCATATGTAAAGCAGTTCTTATAGGTACTTTAGTTTACAGGTCAAAGGAATTGTTTTAATTTTCAAAAGAGAGCTTGTGACTTTTTGAACTATTTATTGACATGAAAATGTACACAAAGATTGCTTTTTATGGCAAAGATAGACAGGAAAAATGTCCTTTACCAAATGAGGGGAATGGAAATTTGATGCAGGAATGTCTTCTGGCTCTGTTGCGTCAAGCCTCGCCAGCCATTTAGAAAAATAATTCATCAGCCAGAGAGGCGGTTCCAGCTCTAGACACATTTATCCAAACAAGGAGATAAGCCAAATAGGGTTTCAGCACATTTGGTAAAAAAATATACAAACTACCCTGCCAGAAAGAACTCTAAGAAGGTTCACAACAGGGTTTATAAAACCTTTCTATGGTGACAGTTTTTTGATTTTTAAAGCATTTTAACCTTAGACCCTTAAACCTGGTTTAAATTCAGACCCAGTCTAGATAAAATTGCTTATTGCAGACAAGCATGGCGCAAGCTATGCTCACATTTTAGTGTGCTGTCGAGGCCCACGCCTTGGAATAGTGCTGAGCTGATGGAATTTCTGGTGTGAACCTCTAGCACCAAAGCCTTCAGAGACAGAGTTACACCGCGCACATTGCGCATTGCTCACCTGTCAGGACCTTCCCTTTTAAGTTTTCCAAATTAAACTCTTAGCACTCACATAACCTGAAATACCTGTGTACTAACCTCTCAGTGACTGCCCAGAATAGGCCTAAGGAAGACTTAGGGTTGCTATTCATGACATTTGGTCTTACTTTAGGGGTCAAAGTTTGACCTTTTATACTACTTCAGCCCAGAAACACCAGAAAGTGTAGTTTGGCATTGCTGCCACCAGGTGGCGGCCGTGTCTTAGTCGTAGGTCTGCAAGCAGCTGATAATGCTTTTCCTCCCGGATCGAGCGCCTAAAATTTATAACCAAGTTTTCCGTTATGGACTTACTAACAATGATAGTAATAATAATATAATGAGAAAACACTTGGTTAAAATAGCTCAGGCAGTATTTTTAAATATTGCATAACAAGATACGGGACTTGGATTAGTTTAATAATTCTAAAAAATTCTGTTTATCTGTGTTTTTTTTTTTGTATGATAAAAATACCCTTCTTCAAAGGAAAAAATGAAATTTTCAGTTGTTTTCAAAGTTATATCTAGAGGAATTTTTAAAGAAACACAGATCCCAGTGGTACCTTTGTCTTGTTTTAATTCATTCTCAGGTAGCTTTTTGTAAATCTGCTTATTGTCAAAAGCTGCAGCTTGAGAAACAGCAGACTGCCTAGTGCCTCTGGTACTTATCTAGCAGGGGCAGAGGATCTGCTTTCTATCACAGCATGAGAATCTACCTCTTGTCTAAGATTTTTATTTCTGGTTCATTAAAATATATTTATTAATCCACTTTACTGTCTTAAAATAAGATATGGAGCCTCCCACCCCCCATTAAAAGGAGATATTATTACCCTGATACCTAAGTAGAAGAAGAAAGCAGGCCATTTTCTTTTGTTTCTCAAGCCAGATTTTTTGCTTATTATAGTAGTTTCTTGTTAGTTCTTAGTGTTGATAGTGATGCACCTCCCATTTTTAGAACCCCATGATCTTGCATTATTTCATGTATTCCACATGTCAACACAGTAAGGTAGGATATTATAGTACCCATCTTTTTGTAGATGAGAAGACTGAGGTTTTTGAGAGATTAAGCGCATGGCCTTTAAGTGATAGAGGCCAGAGTCTAGACTTTCTAGACAAGGGGTGGGGTGCTGGCTGGGGCTTTAATTACAAAGAACTTAAAATAGAAAGATTGTGTTTCTTTCTCATACAACATTTTGAGTATTAGTCTTAATGAAAACTGCAGACCTAAATTGATTCACAGAGCTGGAGGAACCTGTAAGAAATTTCTCATTTCAAAGGAATCCAATGTTTGTTTCAGCATTGTTTACCACTTCTCTCTCAAAAGTGACAACATCTAAATACCCCAGAGGCATTTAGTTACTTAATTTAACTAATCACAATTAAGGAGTTGGTTAAATAAGTTGTGGTGTATTGGTGTGATGTGAAATACTATTCAACCATTAAGGAGTATTTGCCTAGATATACTTGTATGGAAAAATGGCCTAAGGTCATTAGGGAAAAATGACCTTAGAACCTTAGGTAAACAAAAAGTAAATGGCATGATATTACTCCTTGGCTTAAAAGTATAAGCGTTTTTTTGTTTGTTTGTTTGTTTGTTTGTTTTGGTGGGACCCTCGCAGGTGGCCAGGGAACGAACTGGTGCTGCGGAGGCTGCGGGCAGCCTAGCACTCAACCGCTGCGCCACCAGAGGAGGCCCTAAAAGTATAAGCTTTTAAAATCTTTTTTTTTAAGGGATGATTTTTCTCCTTTTTAAAAAAATATTTATTTATGTATGCATACAAGAACTGGGATACAGGCCAGAGGTGCGGAGGAGGGTGTGAGAGGATTGACCAGAGATAGAGTGGGGAACAGAACAGGCAGATTGACTGAAATACACTGCCGAGGGGAGCAGCAGGTGAGTCAGGAGAGGTCTGCTGCGCCATGTGGGTAGCTCCCTGACTGGGAATCGAACTCATGCTTCATTGGCTGCGGATAGCTTCATAGGTTGCGTCTTAACCCCTTGCACCACCAGGAAGGCCCTGAATTATATTTTAACTTTTTAATAAGATGTAGTTTGTGTACCAAAGCTCCTAATCTGGAATAATACACTGCAGTCTTTTAAGAATAGTTACTTCTAAGGGATGGGATTAACATAAGGAGAGGATCTTTCACTTGTTGATTTGCTTCAATTATTTGTATTATTTGTGTGTGTATGTATGTGTGTATTTAACTGTAGTCCCCATACTACCTGTGTCCTCATTTTATAGCTGGGAGTTTGTACTTTTTTTTTTGGTAAAGATTATTTATTTATGGGCTTCCCTGGTGGCACAAGGGGTTAAGCACCGCACTATGAAGCAATCCACAGCCTCTGCAGCACGAGTTCGATCCCCGGCCAGCCAGAGAGCACCACACATGGCAAAGCAGACCTCTCCTGTCTTGCCTGCTGCTCCCCTCAGCAGTGCATTTCAGTCAGTCTGCCTGTTCTGTTTCCCACTCTGTCTCTGGTGAATCCTCTCACCCTCCACATATCTGGCCTGTACCCCAGATCTTGTATGCATAAATAAACAAATCTTATAAAAAAAAAAAAGAAAGAAAATATGAGCTAAATCATCCCTTAAAAAAAAAGATTTATTTATTTATGCATACAAGAACAGGGTACAGGCCAGAAGGGTGTGTGGGGTGGGGGTGAGAGGATTCACCAGAGACAGAATGGGGAGCAGAACAGGCAGATCCACTGAAATACACTGCTAAGGGAAGCAGCGGGCAATTCAGAACAGGCAATTCAGGAGAGGTCTGCTGCTTTATGTGGGTAACTCCCTGGCCCGGGATCAAACTTGTGCTGCAGTGGCTATGGATAGCTTCATAGGTTGTGTCTTAACCCTTTGCATCACCAGGGAGGCCCTGGGAGTTTGTACTTTTTAACTTTTCACCCATATTGCCATCCCTACCTCACCTAATCACCAGTCTATTCTCTGGATCCATAAGCTATGATTTTTTTTTTTTTTAAATTGACTAACATTGGGCCTCCCTGGTGGCACAGCGTTTGAGCACTGGGTTGCGAAGCCGCCCGTAGCCTCTGCAGCACCGGTTCAATCCCCAGCTGCTCCCTGGCCACCGGAGGAGGGTCCCACATGGCGCGCAGACCTCTCCTGCTGCCTGCTGCTCCCCTCAGCAGTGTGCTTCGGTGCTTCTGCCTGCTCTGCTCCCCGCTCTGGCTCTGGTGAATTCTCTCACCCTCCCGCGCTTCTGACTGTACCCAGTGCTTGTATAAATAAATAAATGAATAAATAAATCAATCTTTAAAAAAATAAATAAATTGACTAACATTGGTGTACCACATTGTATATGATTCGAAGGTACAGGATCACACCCCTTCAGATGTGTGTTACTACACCACAGCCATTGTTTTGTTGCTTTTTTAAGATTCTGCATTTAAACAAGATTATAGGGTATTTATCTTTCTTGATTATTTTCTTAGTTCACTTCCTTTACTTGCATAATGCCCTCAGATTACACATGACAAGATTTCATTCTCTTTTATGGCTGAGTGATATTACTCTCTTGCTGTGTGTGTGTGTGTGTGTGTGTGTGCTCATGTGTGTGTTATTTTATTTACCTTTTCATCCACTGATGAACACTTAGGTTGCTTCTGTAACTTGGCTATTGTGAGTAATGCTGCAGTAAATAAACATGGGGGTGCAGATATCTTTTCAAATTAATGTTTTCATTTTCTCCAGATAAATACCTAGAAGTAGAATTTTTGTATTATATGGTAGCTCTGTTTTAAATTTTGAGGAACCTCCATAGTGGCTCCACCAGTGTACCATTCCCACTGACAGTGATCTTGTGTTTTCTTTTCTCCACATCCTCATCAAAATTTGTTATTTCTTGTCTTTTTGAGTATACCGATTCTAACAGGTATGAAATGTTATCTCATTATATGTTTTTTTTGACAAAGAAGATAGGCACATGTGTTCACAGTCATGGTCAACTGAGAAGCTGCCCAAGGATCCCATTGAATCCATCTTCTGTACTGAAATATCCTGTCCTGAGTAAGAGAATTTGCAGAAGAAATTTAGCAGAGGTCACAGAAATCACAAAGTTGCTCTCATGTTATTCCCTGCTGGGCTGTGCATCCTGTTGTGCACCCCCACCCTTACCTATTTTGTAGGTCCCCAGGTCTCCATTGTTAAGGGAAAGAAAAAGCTGCCCTGAGGTGCCTTCCAATTCTCTGGGTGCCAAGAACACTTTGGTTTTAATGTATTTGTGAGGGAATATTTTAAGTATTCCTAGTTTTCAAGATAACAAGCTCAAAAGGGTAAAAATAGCACTTACTCCTTATTTCCCAAAAACATCCAGTGCTGTTATCCTGCCTGTCACGATCTTAAGATGATTATTGAATAAATTGACAATTATACAACTGAATACTGAACTTCATGGACAATGTCATTTTCCTGACTCCCTTCTCATTCTGTCAATGATTCGGCCCACCCTACTTTCAGTTAGTTCCTGTCTGCTTGTTTCCCGGTAAAAATAGCCTTGGTACTGGGAGTAGGTGGGATGGGTGGTAGAGGGAGGGGCTAAAATGGAAGGTATGTTTTCTTATCAGTAGTTTCATTATCACTAAAATGCAAGGCCTGGGATAAATAAAAGCTGGAGGAGGGAGAGTATTAGCTTTCCAGAGTCAATGTTCTTGTTTCGGCAGTGTGGTTGGCACCTCCTCTTCCATGATCTTGAAATGAATGTGATGCAACTTTTCCTGCCACCTGTGATTTGAGATTGTCTCAGTCACCTTGTATTAGCATCTTAAGACCTTAGGATGCCAGTTATCACATTTGACTCCTGCAGCTGCCTCCTTTAACCTTTTTAACCTTTAATTGGTTAAAATTATATCCTAGACAAGATAGCAGCAGCTCTGCCTCCTCAAATGGGTAGTCTTTTAATAGGGGTAGTGATTGAGGATAAAAAGTAACTGAGTTAGGGCCTCCCTGGTGGCGAAAGGGGTTTAGCTTCAGCACCATGAAGCAATCTGCTACTACTGCTGCACTAGAGTTGGACCCCTGCCAGGGAGTTGACCCACATGGCGAAGCAGACCTCTCCTGCTGCTCCTTGCCCACTGCTCCTCTCAGCACTGTGTTTCAGTGGAGCTGCCTGTTCTGCTCCCCACTCTGTCTCTGGTGAATCCTCTCTCTCTCTCTCACACACACACACACACACACACACACACACACACCCCACCCCGCACCTTGGCCTATACCCCAGTTCTTGTATGCATAAATAAAAATAAAGCTTAAAAAAAAAAAAGCAACAGTTTAAAACTAGTTTCCATATTCTCTGACTCCCATTCCACCCATTTTTCTTAATGACTTAACACAAAGTCTAATCCTTAAAGTGCTATTGGTTCACTAGCATAAGTATCATTGTAAGCACAGAGGACCTTACTTTTACTAAAGAAAAGATGAAAGGGAATTCGTTTTTTACTGCCAACTATGTGCCAAAATACTATGTCTACTAACATTATCTCATTGAATCCTTATAATAACCTGCAAGACCGGTATTATCACCACCTCCATTTCACTGATGAGATAACAGTCCATGAACCAGAGCTGTCTGACTCCAAAGCCTGTCCTGTCTCCACTCACCTTCGCTGGAGATCTGGCACTAACAACTAATAATAACAGCCAAGGAGATAACATTTGTAAGAGCCTAATATGGTGCCTGGCACATACCTTAGAAAATGTTCCTCCCAACAGCCTTGGCCACCCTCAGACACCTCCCATTCCCCTGTTGGAAGTATACCTCCACCAATAATTTCCTTTTGTCATCCTTTTAACAGGACCTAGGACAGTGATCCACCCTAAAGCACGAATTATTGCAGAGGCTGGGCCAATTGTGATTGGTGAAGGTAACCTAATAGAAGAACAGGCCCTTATCATAAATGCGTGAGTAAGAGTCTTATAGGTACTCTGAACTAAGTACCACAGACAGTGTTTTTGTTATTTTGGTTTTATAGGAATCTTTTACATTTGGAAAGTTCTCATTTAGAACTAGAGAAACATTAAGGATCTTTTCAACAGGTAGTTAGGAAATGAGGAAACCAAAGATCAGATGTGTGAAGAGATTTGTCCAAGGTGAGGTAGTACTTTGAATTTCTTGGTTATGACTGAAATGTTATTCCTCAGGACAATGCACGTGAACTTAATTCTCATGTATATTTTCACATGCTTAGTAGGGGTAACACCCAGAATAGTATTTGAAAAATTTGAGGTCCTAAAGGCAATTTCTAAAAGTTCGAAATTTAAAAAATAATAAAATACTGGAACATGTACATAGTAAACTATGTTATAATATCTCTGAAATTTTTATAAGCATTTGTAAGCCTTTCTAGATAAAATGTTGGCAGGCTATTTAAGCTTATACCTAATTTATAGCAGTAATGTATGGAATTTGTAAGAAAAACCTTGGGAAAATATTTATGATAAAGAGAATGATTTGTCTTAATGCTTGCTTAGGATTTGGGAGTTTCTTACTATGTTAAGCTGTTTTTTCTTAAATTATATTTTGGCACCTTGAGTGTAAGTCAGTTAACAATATATTGCAGTAACTCAACTGTCAGAGATAAAATGCCATTTAAAAATGGCTTCCTCCTCTTAGATCACATACATTTTATGTTCCAAATATTTCCATTAGCTACTCACAGCATAAAATAATTATATGAATACTTGTTTGTGTTTCACAATCTCAAATGATTGTTAAGAATGGAAAGATTTTCAAGTTAGATATGAAATTCCAGTTTAATAAGCCAAAAGTCATAGCCAGCATCTTTTTTACCAGTCCTGGAGAAGGCTCTCTAGGACTTGATTTTAAACATAAAAAAGGAAAACTCACACATACACCAATGACATATATATTTTACTAGTTCTTTTTTCAACTCAGAGTTAACCCTGCTCAGCATAAAGGTTAAATAATTCACTAAGAGTAAGAAATAATTTATATAGTTATGTATTTTAAGCTTGATCTAGGTAAAATTGAGAGAAATAATATAGATTCTAAAATAGAAGATTACTTATTACATTATTGACTTTTTGATTATCTCTCTTTTTTTATAGTCATCCTGATAATATCACCCCTGACACTGAAGATCCAGAACCCAAACCTATGATTATTGGTACCAATAATGTGTTTGAAGTTGGCTGTTGTATCCTTTACAATAATTTAAGATAAATCATTCCCAGCTATCTTTTTTTTATTTTTAAAGATTTATTTATTTATTTATACAAGCACTGGGTATAGTCAGAAGCGCGGGAGGGTGAGAGAATTCACCAGAGCCAGAGCGGGAAACAGAACAGGCAGAGTGACGAAATACACTGCTGAGTGGAGCAGCAGGCACGGCAGGAGAGGTTTGTCGTGCCATGTGGGACCCTCGCCGGTGGCCAGGGATCAAACCAGTGCTGCAGAGGTTGCAGGCAGCTTCGCAGCCCAGCGCTCAACTGCTGTGCCATCAGGGGAGGCCCTCCCAGCTATCTTTTAATAACCAAATGCCCTCCTTAGAATTTGTCATAATTTATAACATATATTTAAATAATAATTACATTTTTAGGATGAGGGTATCCAGCTCTTTGAGAATATTTGTAATATGTAAAAAAAAAAATTATCCCCTCTCTTACATTGAATAACCCAAAAGTAAAAAGGAAATGTGCTGTTTTCAGGCATATACATACAAGCACATCCTTAGTTCAGTATTTGGTGATACTCTCTCACTCCTGTCACAGAGACTACAACTTATTAACAGGTAGCAATGACTGAGTGGCAGTAGACACAGAAACATAGAAAACCAGATTAATAATCCTGGCTTCTGTCTGATTTAAGAACCACACCTCTGTCCATTTGATTCCTGTGTAGTTTTAGGCAGGCTACTTATCTGATGCAGGGAAATGATGATGGATAGGTATGAAAGTATTTCATTCTTTGTTTTTTCTCCCCAGCATGTTATCAGTTCTTTTGCTTGATTTGACATCCATAAAAAAAAAAAGTATACTCTTTTAATTGTGTCATCAAAACATTATTTTTAATCAGAGGTATTTGGAGGGAAAAATCTGTGTGTCCAACAATAGCAAAATATTTAAATAAATTAAGCTACGAGCATAAAACAGACCAAATTATGTCTTTAGACATTTTAATGACCTGGAATAATGCTTGCAAACTTAAGTGAACTATAAAAAGTGAGCTACAAAATGTATGCAGTTTGATTTTGTACAGTTTGGTTCTCAGTTTGATTCCCAGTTGTATAGATAGAGGATATATAAGGTAGATAGACAGATTGATTTATATAAAGATCTATCAACTCACCAGTGCTTTTTTAAATGATTGGGTGATACTAGGTGGTAGGTAGGTTTACTTTTCTTAAAACAATTGTGAAAATACATTACTGAATTGGGTGCTCATTTCTTTTATACTTTAGATACTTTTATTTAGAGAGTAAAGCTTTACTTTCAGACTGCTTTGGAATTCTGGAGCAAAGAGTTCTGGCTGGCAACTCTGCATGGCCCCTTCCTCGTCTCTTTCCTCTGCCCCAATGCAGGATAAGGACATTGTGAATTATTTGGGGAGAGAAGATGAGAAAATTGTTTTCTTAACTCTGACTCATAGATTCCCAAGCCATGAAAATGGGAGACAATAATGTTATTGAATCAAAAGGTAAGCTATGTTTGGAGTTTTACTGTCAAAAATAGTGATTTCCTTTCTCTTGGTGGTACTCTGGAAAACACCCTTTACATACACTGTGGCCGAGTGTTGTGCTAGCAGGGAAGGTGTGGTTGGAAATGCACCAAAGGAGCTGTAAGACTCATTCTTTGCTTTTATAATGCTTATTCTAGTATTGAAGAGCTCTTTACCTTAGCCAACCAGAGGTAATTGTAAGTGGGACTACATGAGGACCACCACCACTTCTGGGCAACAGCTCCAACAACTTTTCCCACTGACGTCCAGAAAGACCCTGAATGGTGATCCGTCTTTAGAATAGAGTATCTTTCATGGTCCTGGCTGGCATGAAAGAAAATGCTGGTTTTTTTAAAAAATAAATATTTAACTTAGGATTTTTGTTAATCTATTTAAGGGTTATTTTAATTTGGATTACCAACTCTTACACTGTCATTTCTATTCATTATATACTTACTGTGTGTGCCCACCACTTTACATTTACTCTCATTCATTGCAGCAAACTGTGAAGTAGGGTGGTGTCTTCATTTAATAAACTTGCTCATGAATTTATAATGACTGCACAACAGCAGCAGAACTGTTTTGAGTCCATTTTGTGCTAGTCTGGTACCTGCCTCTATGCTATGCTCATACTCAGATTTAAACAATTTAAGTTTATTTTCAGGGCCAATTTGTATTTTTATACTTAAATCATCTAAGGAAAAAAATAGTATCTTAATCATTTGATGTCTTAAATTACAGTACTCTATGTTTATTCTGCAGCATATGTAGGCAGAAATGTAATATTAACAAGTGGTTGCATCATTGGGGCTTGCTGCAACCTGAATACGTTTGAAGTCATCCCTGAAAATACAGTGATCTATGGTACAGACTGCCTTCGTCGGGTGCAGACTGAGCGACCACAGGTACTAAAACTTCTCCTTAAAAAGAGTTCTTTCTAGAGCTGCTGATTTTCCTAAAATAGCACATAATTGTTTTAACAGCAGCAAGTCCACTATTTAGAAAACAAATGATTAAAACAAACATCAGAGAAACACTCCTAAAAGTAGATTTTATTGGGGCCTCCCCGGTGGCACAGCAGTTGAGCGCTGGATTGTGAAGCTGCCCGCAGCCTCTGCAGTGCTGGTTCGATCCCTGGCTGCTCCCTGGCCACCGGAGGAGGGTCCCACATGGCGCGCAGACCTCTCCTGCCACATGCTGCTCCCCTCAGCAGTGTACTTCGGTCCTTCTGCCTACTCTCCTCCCTGCTCTGGCTCTGGTGAATTCTCTCACCCTCCCGCGCTTCTGACTGTGCCCAGTGCTTGTATAAATAAATAAATAAATAAATAAATATTAAAAAAAAAACCAGCTTTCTATCTTTAAAAAAAAAAGTAGAATTTATTTGCAATGGAATTATTCAGTATTATGTACAAGGATTACAATGACAAACTGTTATGGGAAAAGAAAATCAATAGATTTTTTTTTTTTTAAGAATCATTCTTTTTAGGGCCTCCCTGGTGGTGCAGTGTTAAGTCTCAGCACTATCAAGCTATCGCCAGCCACTGCAACATGAGTTCTATCCCTAGACAGGGAGCTAACTCACATGGCGCAGCAGACCCCTCCTGTCTTGTTCACTGCTCCACTCAGCAGTGTATTTCAGTGGATCCACATTTTCTGCTCCCCACTCTCTCTCTCCAGTGAATCCTCTCACCCCCTGCACCTCTGGTCTAGACCCCAGTTCTTGTATGCATAAATAAATAAATCTTTCAAAAAAATGAATTATTCCTTTTATCATAAGATTGCTATTTTATTTTTTTATTTATTTATCATAAAAGAACTGGGATATAGGCCAGAAGTGTGGGAGGGTGAGAAGATTCACCAAAGACAGAAGGGAGAGTAGAATAGGCTGATCTACTGAAATACATTGCTAAGGGGAGTAGTGGGCAGAATAGGAGTGGTCTTCTACATCATGTGGGTTTGCTCCTTGGCCAGGGATCGGGATCAAACTCAGGATTGGGCTGTCAGGGTGGTAGCACTGAGACTTAATCTCTAGGCCACCAGGGAGGCCCAATCCATAGATGTTATTCCTGGATCCACTGAAATAGACTGCTGAGTGGAGCAGCGGACAAGACAGTAAAGATGCATTTCCAGACCTTACAAATTGTATTCATTCACGCTTGAAATCTGAATCCTTGAGGGTGAGGAATAATCATACCAAATTAATACAGGATATCTAACTTGGGTCCATCTATTAGTTGACTGACATAGTTTGTGAAAATAAGCACAGTTTGTAAATATGCAGTCATGTTTGTGTATTCTTCTGGCATATAAGAATCCCCTTTAAATAACCAAGATCAAAAAAATGACTTGTACATATTTGGAATTTCATGTTAGAGTAGGACATGAATAAAACAAGGCAAAGAAGACATTCTATTTGAAATTTTAAGCCCGTTGCTTAACACACTCAATATATGTTTCCTTAGTTACTCAGTCTCCTTTCTCTCCTCCCAAAAAAATACTTTGTCTCCTCCCAAGACATCACATTGCCTCTGATTCTTAGCTATATTTATCAGAAATTAAAATTCCAGTTCTTTCTGGGTTATTCTAATTTTGTAATATTTGGCCTTTGTATTTATAGACTAAAAAGGAAATAAAAACAATTGCAGTATATTTTTCACTATCTTTTTGCATAATGGCAAAAATGATTGAAGAGGTAGAAGTTAAGCTAGAATGGGGGGGAGATTAGAATTATGTGAGCAAGAATATATATAGTTTAATACATAATACTATGTAAAACTTTTCCAAGTTCACTGAGGGTCTTATAAGTGTCTTATTTGCACAAAGGATTCTCCAAATTTATTGAATCAGAGTATCAAGATTAAGGACATGAGATTCCTTACTTTTCACAAGTTCCCCAAGTAACTTTTACAAGGAGGGCAAAGCTTGGGCAAAGCTTGTTTATGAAGAGTGAAGATCAAGAGAGCTTTACCACTCTGTGCTATGAGGTCCTGTGGAAAGCAGTACATTCTGGGTATTTTACTTATGTTGTCTTCTATAATTGGAACTTTTAGACTTTTTAGAGTCCAGGGTGGAATCTACAAAAGCAAGTTTGAAAACTAATTCATATATATATTTATATATAAAATCTTTTGTTTTTTTTATTACTAAATGTAATATATTTTCATTGTAAATTAAAAAAAAAAACAGGTAAACAAAAATGAGTTAGTGAAAATCATCTGTAATTCCACAACTTAGTGATAATTATTTTTTACCTGGCACTAACTTTGTTTTTGCTGATCAGTTCTTAATTATCTTTTTAGCCCCAGACACTACAGCTGGATTTCCTGATGAAAATCTTGCCAAACTACCACCACCTAAAGAAGACTATGAAAGGAAGCTCAACTCCAGTTAAGAACTAAGAACAGTATATGAAAGGATAACATTTTGTCTTTGACCACTGTCTTTTGAAAGGGCCGCAGTTGTTGATACACTCTTAGCAGTTTATGGAACAATACCTGTTGACTTTTTTTTTGTAAATTGAGTTTTAGAGGAAAGTAATGGATTTTCATTGTAACTGTCCCCTATAATTTATATAAAATGTGTTATTTTCCTATATCTTTGCTCCTTTTATGATAATTTACAAATTTATTCTTTTGTTATATAAATGTTAGCCATAAATATTAGTTATATAAAAAACTACCCAAAATAAAGAGCATATTGTTGTGTATTTCTATTCTGGTATACACTAAACTAAATAAAAATGTTGCTAACAGGATTGTTAGTGAGCAAACTTTGATCAGCTTTTCTACTTGCATTAACTTTCCCAAAATAACTCTTAAATTTTTGTGTGTATTAGCTATAGTAGTGTTTACCTTTTTCATTTGTGGGTTTGTGGTTGTTTAAAATTTTTGAATTAATTTAGACTTCGTTTTATTTCCAAGAAAATATGTTTTTCTTTGTAGTAAAACAAGTAATCCAGATGTATTCAGAGAATGCAAAGTCAAAGATAATGGTGTCATAAGAATGAGAAGTAAATGACCATTGGGAGTATTCCTGGGTTTTGAAGACAGTGAGCTAAAAGATTTTGGTATGTTTATAAATTCATGAAATTATTTTGATATATTAATCACTATTGACCCTGCTATAATTCTATTTGATTATATAATGTCAAAATATTGAGGATTCCAGGGTTTTTTTAGTAATTCAAATGCATACACTTAATGGGATCTAATTTTCAACTTTTGAATCAATAGCTGTTGACTAGTACTAAGACATTAAATACATAAATATTTTCTCTTGAAGTTTACTTTTTAACTGTAGGTAGTAAAAACTATATTTGAACTTCTGAAAATATCAGGTACAAATTAGCTTTTGTTCCCAATTAAAATGACTTGATTTTTGGTAAGAATACTCATGACTCAAGTTAGAAAACTACAACTACACATAGTAGACTGAAAAAGAGAGCATCCTATCAATGCACTATTTTTTTAACAATTTATTTATTTATGCATACAGGAACTGGGGTCTAGGCCAGAGGTGTAAGGGGAGGGGGGCGGTGAGAGGATTTACCAGAGAGAGTGGGGAGCAGAACAGGTGGATCTAGTGAAATACACTGCTGAGGGGAGCAGAGGGTAAGGCAGGAGAGGTCTGCTGCACCATGTGGGTTGCTCCCTAGCCAGCTGGGGATCAAACTCATCAAACTCATCAAACTCGCTGGTAGCTTGTAGTGCTGTCTTTAACCCCTGAGCCACCAGAGAGGCCCTCAGTGCACTTGACAATCAAGTCAGGATTTTGTTGATCATGAAAATTTTTTAGATGAAAAGGCAGAAATTACAAAACTACCTTTGAAGTGCTATGAAGTTTTAAAACTTTATCTCTGGATAAGCTCTGATAATGCTTATTAATGGCCTCTGGCCCAAACTATCAGGTAATATGTGAGAGCAATAGCGAGATAACCACCCAAGGACTTGGTAATAAGATACCCCCAGAGATTTAAAAAAAAATTACATTAACATACGATGAGAAATGATATGAACTCATTTGAGTAAAGAAAATGTGGGTAGAAATAGTCAATTTACCAACATAGAATTTGGAGGAAATGAATGACAGTGTCTGTACAATATTCTCCATGGGGGGGAGGTACTAAGTCCCAAGAGATGAGAGAAATTTGGTGACCAGAAGTGTTCTCTACTTCAGATGGGATCAGTTTATCATGACTTGATATATATGACTTGGTAAGAATATACCTGGAGACCTGCCTCTTAATTTGGCTCTAATTGCAGGCTTAACTGAACCACTTTCTGATTCTTAATATGACCTTTAGGCTATCAAGGTTGAGGGCACCAGAATTCTATTCTGTACATAGTAAATTTAGAGAGACTTTCTGGTTTGTATATTAGTCTCATGTGAATTTAGGATGTAGTTGTGCCCCTGAGTCTGTCAGTTTAATCTTTGATTTAGCCTATGATATAAAAATTCTGATAAAATACAGTTTCTGCCCTTTAGAACAAAGAACCAAAGTTAAATGCTAAATGGAGGGCCTCCCCGGTGGCGCAGCGGTTGAGTGCTGGGTTGTGAAGCTGCCCGCAGCCTCTGCAGTGCCGGTTCGATCCCCGGCTGCTCCCCGGCCACTGGAGGAGGGTCCCACATGGCGCGCAGACCTCTCCTGCCGCCCGCTACTCCCCTCAGCAGTGTACTTCGGTCCTTCTGCCTGCTCTGCTCCCGCTCTGGCTCGGGCTCGGTGAATTCTCTCACCCTCCCGCGCTTCTGACTGTACCCAGTGCATGTATAAATAAATAAATAAATCTTTTAAAAAAAATTGTTAAAAAAAAGTGCTAAATGGAAGGACAAATCCTGGCATACATAAAAGGTAGCAACTACACAAGGAGAATAAAGAAAGCGTTTTATTATAAAATCTTACTGTAGTTTGGTGATAGCTCTTAAGTCAAGATGATGGATTTTCACCAGTTGAATAGTGTCAGGTCTAGAAAATCATTGCTCTCTTCTTCACTTCATCCATAAGCACACACAATGGTCGTTAACTGTGCTGTGTCTAAAATGAGCCCAAAATATAGCATCTTAAAGCAACAATTATTATTTTGCAGTTTTTGCAGGTCAGCAAGCTGGGAGTGGCTCAGCTAGTGCTTCTGGCTCATGAGGTTTCACTCGTGCAGCCAGAGCAGCAGTTTTCTGAAGACTTGACTGGGGCTGGAGAATCCCTTTGTAGGATGACTGCCTCACCTAGCTGTTGGCAGGAGGCTTCAGTTCTTTACCATATGAGCTTCTCCACAGGGCTGCTGAGTGTCCTTATGACATGGTGACTGCCTCCCTCACTTGCAGAACCCACAAGGAAAGGCCTAGTCTCTAAATCACTGCACACCATCACTACCACTTTGTTTTATTTGTTAGAAGTCTCACACTGTCTCACACTGAAGAGGAGGGAATTAGGCTCTACCTTTTTAGGGGAGGAACATCCAAAAATCCATATTCATGTTCAAAGGGCGCCAGCATACACACATCCATTCCTCCCTAGTGCTCTATCAGCATGTTCTACAGGACCTCCACACTGCAAGGAAATGGCTTGAGGAAGTACTGCTATTTGTTAGTGGGCATTGCACATGACATCATCAAAGAGTCTTTATCTTACAGCCTTCTGTAATCGGTAAACCTTATATTAGAAATGTAGATTATTTGCTCTAAATGTTAAATGTTTCTTTAAACAGCACTTTAACTTGTTTAGGTTTAGTAGGAATTAAAAACCTTGAAGGTTAATAATATTGAGTAAGAGAATGTTGAAAATAATACAGGAACTATTTTTACAACCAAAATATATGCTTAGTAAACTGTCATTTTTAAAAATTGCCTTTATTAAATTTGTATCGAGCTCACTAAATGCCAAGTACTGTTAATAGCAGTTTATGCATAACTCATTAATTACATGTTAACTCATTTAATTCTCTTAACAATCAGGTAGTAATATTATCATCACTATTTTAAAGATGGGAAATTAAGGCACTGTTACACAGCTAGGAAGTAGCATTTTGATTCCAGAATTCATGATCATAACCAAATTTTATGCTTCCTTTTTTAGAGAAGTTGTTAAACCTTTTAAGATAGAGATTCCATAATTCAGTAGGCTTCCTAAACACTAGTTAGGAAAACAGCTCTGCAGTTGCCTTGCTTAAAGTCTTTGCTTCTCTTAAATTTCTTAATCTGGATGATACATTTCTTAATCTGGATAATACAAAACGAGAAATTTTTTAAAGAATTGTTTGGTCTTCCCACTGAATTCAATGAGCATTACCCGAAAAAATGACCTGCAGGGTCATTCTGTCCAAAACTTTCAACAAGTCTGCTTACTATCACTAATTAACTATGGTTGTGAATTATAGTTGTTTTTATTTATAAAAAAGCAGTATACTTTCCTTTTAGACAATTTAAGGGGTGAGGAAGAAATGCTTCTAATTTCATAATTCACCCTCAAGCATTTTGGTGACTAATTCTTAGAGTGAGTCCAACCACGAATGTAGATAGATGATGATATTTTTCAGAGACATTAAAGCTTTATAATTCCCAGCGCATACCTGCTGTTGTATCACAAGAGGGCACTAGAAAACAGGGTAGATTTTCCCCTGTTGGTTACCTAATGGGTACTTTTGAATCTTAGGCTGACCCATATTAAGGCTCCTTTAGACTTCTTCCACTAAACATTAACTCAGAATAGTTCCTTTCCTGTTTCAAAGGAATATATGTTTTAATATTTTGGAGTATTAACTGGAAATAGACCCAGTGACACTCAACACATTCAAATGGAGGCTCAAGCATTGGATCCCTCAGTCCCCCCACAGACAGAAACACTGCCGGTCCTACCAGAGATCTTGCAAAGAACAGTTTGGTCAAATCATCTTTGGTAGTGTTCCTCTCAAAAGAGTTTCAGCACTAACTTCATGTGAATCTGAATGCTAAGTCTCTGAATTTAGGTTTTCCTTTTTTTTTTCTGTTTCCAAAAATAATCACTTTTTTTTTTTTTTTTTTTTAACATTTATTTATTTATTTATTTATTTATACAAGCACTGGGTACAAGAAGCGCGGGAGGGTAAGAGAATTCACCGAGCCAGAGCTGGGAGCAGAGCAGGCAGAAGGACCAAATTACACTGCTGAGGGGAGCAGCGGGCGACAGGAGAGGTCTGCGCGCCATGCGGGACCCTCCTCCAGTGGTCGGGGAGCAGCCGGGGATCGAACCAGCACCGCAGAGGCTGCTGGCAGCTTCGCAACCCAGCGCCCCGCCACCGGGGAGGCCCTAATTTTTTTATTTTATTTTTATTTCCCCATTCAATTGCAACCCCCTTATTTTGACCCCAAGCCCTCCTTTCCCCGCCTCCCCCCCATAGTGTGTCTCTGGTTCATAGTTGTTTGTTGATTTTGATTTTTTCTTTCTTATAGCTATTCTTTTTCCTGGTCTCTTATTTAGGTTTTCTAGATTCCTGCTATGAGTGAGACCATCCAGTATTTTTCTTTTTTCTTTCTGGCTTATTTCGCTGAGCATGATCCTTTCCAGCTCCATCCATGTTGCTGCAAATTGCATGTATTTATCTTTTTTGAATGCTGAGTAATATTCCATTGTGTATGTGTACCACATCTTCTTGATCCAGTCATCTATTTTTGGGCATTTGGGTTGTTTCCAAAGCTTAGCTATTGTAAATAGAGCTGCTATAAACATAGGGGTGCAGGTGTTCTTTGGAATTGATGTTTCTGTGTCCTTTGGGTAAATACCTAGGAGTGGACTTGCTGGATCATATGGAAGCTCTATCTTTAGTAGGATGAGGAATCTCCATACAGCTTTCCATAATGGTTGGACCAGTTTGCACTCCCACCAACAATGCAGGAGAGTTCCTTTTTCTCCACATCCTCGCCAACATTTGTTGTTGCTAGATTTTTTAATATGTGCCATTCTCACTGGTGTGAGATGGTATCTCATTGTAGTTTTGATTTGCATTTCCCTGATTGCAAGTGATGTTGAACATTTTTTCATATGCCTGTTGGCCATTTGTATTTCCTCTTTGGGGAAGTTTCTTTTTAGCTCTTCTGCCCATTTTTTGACTGGATTATTTTCTTTGTTTTTGTTAAGTCTTGTCAGCTCTTTGTAGATTTTTGTGATCAGTCCTTTATCATTAGTATTGTGTGCAAAAATTTTCTCCCAGTCGGTGGGGTTTCTCTTTGTTTTGGTTATTGTCTCTTTTGCTGTGCAGAAGCTCTTTAATTTGATGTAGTCCCAGCTGTTTATCTTTGCCTTCACTATCACTGCTTTGGGTGATGTGTCTGTAAAGATGTCTTTGAGGTGCATGTCATGTAGTGTTTCGCCTATATTTCCTTCTATATATTTTATGGTTTCAGATCTTATGTCTAGTTCTTTGATCCATTTTGAGTTGCTTTTTGTGCATAGTGTGAGGCAGTAGTCAAGTTTCATTCTTTTGCATGTAGCAATCCAGTTTTCCCAGCACCATTTATTGAACAAACTTTCTTTGCTCCAGTGCATATTCTTTGCTCCTTTGTCAAAGATTATTTGACCTATGGGTTTATTTCTGAGTTTTCTATTTGGTTCCATTGGTCTGTATGTCTGTTCTGGTTCCAATACCATGCAGTTTTGATTATTATGGCTTTATAGTATAGTTTGAAATCTGAGAGAGTGATGCCTGCATTCCCTTCTTTTTTTTTTTCAGGAGGGTTTTGGCCTTTTGGGGTTTTTTTGGTGGCTCCATATGAATTTCATCAATATTTTTTCTATTTCTTTGAAGAATGACATTGAAATTTTAATTGGAATAGCATTGAATCTGTAGATTGCTTTTGGTAGGATGGCCATTTTGATAATGTTAATTCTTCTGATCCATGAGCAGGGGATGTCTTTCCATTTCTTTGTGTCTACTTTTATTTCTTTTAACAGTGTTTTATAAGTTTCTTTGTATAGGTCCTTTACTTCTTTTGTTAGGTTTATTCCCAGGTATTTGATTTTTTTTTTTGTTTCAATAATAAAAGGAATGGTTTTCTTGATTTCTTCTTCAGATTTATTGTTTGTGTATAGGAAGGCTGCTGATTTTTGTGCATTGATTTTGTATCCTGCCACTTTACTAAACTGATTAGTTTAATTAGTTTTTCTGTGGAGTTTTTGGGGTTCTCTATGTATAGTATCATATCATCTGCAAATAGTAATAGTTTGACTTCTTCCTTGCCTATTTGGATTCCTTATGTCTTTCTTTTGTCTTATTGCTCTGGCTAGGACTTCCAGTATTATGTTGAAAAGCACTGGTGAGAGTGGACATCCTTGTCTTGTTCCAGATCTTAATGGGAATGCTTTCAGCTTTTCACCATTGAGAATGATATTGGCTGTGGGCTTGTCATAGATGGCCTTTATGATATTGAGGTATGTTCCTTGTATCCCGAGAATTTCAAGGGCCTTTATCATGAATGGGTGTTGCACTTTGTTGAAAGCTTTCTCAGCATCTATTGATATTATCATATGGTTTTTATATTTCTTTTTGTTGATGTGCTGGATTACATTGATTGATTTAAGGATGTTGAACCATCCTTGTGTCCCTGGAATAAATCCTACTTGGTCGTGAATTATCTTATAGATGCATAGTTAGATTCTGTTGGGAAGGATTTTGTAGAGGATTTTTGCATCAGTGTTCATTAGGGAAATTG